ACCCCGCTAGCTACGCTACTGGCTAGTCTACACTAGAAAATTAGATTGACCAAGCCTCAGGGGTGTGAAAAATCCACACCCCTGAGCAACATAGGGCATGTCTACATTACACCCATAAGTCAACCTATGTTAGGTTGATTTACAGCCACCACAGTAATTACTGTGTTTTTTCATGTCCACACTGCCCTCCTTCTGTCAGTGCATGTCCTCACCAGGAACACTTCCATCGACCAAAGAGGGGCAGCGTGGGGGGCTGAGAACCAAGATTCTCAGCTCCGTGCAGCTCCCCATCACGAGTCCAGCTTCCCCCTGGGCTCTTGGCTCCCCATTCCTGGCCGTCAACATGTGAGATCAGAGCCAGGTGAGCTCAAAGGGGGGAATCCAATCTCACTTCCCCACTGTGTGCTGAGAAGGGAATCAGGACAGCAGTGCAGGGAGCTGGTGTTTACACAAAGCCACAGGAGCAGCTAAGGGCCAGGGGAGGTTGGTCCCTGGCACTGAGGGACGATTTGAGGCCCAAGAGGAAGGAGTGGGGACCAGTGTGCGGTTTTGCTAGTTTCTGTTCCCAGTCTTTTTGACATGAATTGTGAACTGAATAGAAATGGGACTGAAATGCAACCTCTACAAAATGTACCTAGGAAACAACATAGAGGATCAGAGCAGTGGCCCATCTAGCCTGGTATCTGCCCCTACACACACACCCATCCCCCTCCTCATTGCCCCAGATCAGACCCATGGGCCCATCCTGCCCGGTGTCCTGTCTCTGAGAGTGGGCAGTACAGAGCATTTCAGAGGAAGGAGCAAGAAACGCCACACTGATTTATCCGTCTTTCATACTTGCCCTCTGCCTGTCTCTCCAATCTCCACACATCTCCCCATAGCCCTCTAGCTCTCCGATCTCCATCCAGCTCTATCTAGCTAACCAAGCTGCACACACAGCCCTCTGCCCGCCTGCCTGATCTCCGCACAACCCGCTTTGTCTGTGTGGTCACTCACCTCCCTGCCTGTGGTCTTGGACTGCTCCCTTCCCCCTGCTAATACAAGTTCAGTGCTAACCAGCTGTGAAACTCTGCACAGCCTCTCTTTTCCCAGCCCCAGCTTGGAAGTGGCTGCAGTTATGGGAAACTCCCTGAGTCTTGGGCTGATTTCACAACATGGAATGCACCAGGTAGCAACCCCATCCCAGCTGCTCGGCTGGGTGGGGAGTGCCCCATGGCTGCCCCATTCCAAGTGTGGGTTGGGGTCACGGCGTGGGGCTGCAGGGGACCTGATGTCAGGGTATGCCTCAGGCACCAGAATTGCCTTAATCCATGCCCTCTAAGCTCGGGTGAGACCCCTCCCAATTTCCACTGGGTCCCCCTCCAGCCACCAGCCTTCCCCTGGTGATCTCAGGGCACAGAATTGCACCACCCAGCCATGGAGGCGCTCACTCCCTCCGGCTGCACTGAGTTCTCACTGTTTTACCTGCTGCCCCTGGGGGTCCTTCCCCATGGTGGAGTTGTATGTGGAGCGCACATCCTGGGCCTCATCCCGGGAGGGGAACCGCTGCACAATCTCCACCACGTTGGCCAGCGACTTGTTCTGGCGGAAGCTGCGCTGTCGGAAGGACCGGCGGCATAGGGGGCACTGTCTCGGCTCCTCGTCCTCCTCCACCCTGTCCCAGTGCTGAATGATGCAGTCCTCACAGTAGTTGTGCCCGCAGTCCAGCATCACAGGCACCTCCATGTACTTGGTACAGATGGAGCAGGTAACCTCCAACTGCAGCTCCTGCACCAGGTCGGACCCAGCCATGGTGGGAGGTGTACTAGGGGCGAGTGCACTTCTGGGATCCCTGTAGAGCTCCGGTCAGCTCCCTGGCACGGCACTCAGCACCCTGCCCCGCTGGGACCCCTGCAATGTAGCTTCCTGACACCCAGCACCCTGTGCCTCTGATCCCTGCAGCCCAGCACCCCGGCACCCAGCAATGTGCCCTGCTGGAATCCCTGCACCTCAGCTCCCTGGCATCCAGCTCCCTGCCCCGCTGGGATCCCTGCAGCCCAGTTCCCTGGCACCCAGCACCCTGCCGGGTCCTGTAGCCCAGCCCCCTCCCCACTGAGATCCCTGCAGCCCAGTTCCCTGGTACCCAGCACCCGGGCCCACTGAGATCCCTGCAGCCCAGCTGCTGAACAGCCACATACATGCCTTGCTGCTGAGTCTGTGTTGACAGGAAGCGGGAGGTCACTGAACTACGCTAGTGAACTGAGGGGTGGGGCGTGTGCATAGTGGTTTGGCAGCCATGGAAGAGCCAATCCCAAACCCCAAGGGCAGGTAGGCAGAGGCAGATTAAGATTGACTGGGGCCCTGGGCACAAAAAATATTTGGAGCCTCGCACCACGGGGCCCCATCCTCCACTCCTCACCTTCCCCCCCATGGCCCCGCCTCCTGGCCTGGCTGGAAGCCAGGCTGAGGTAAGAGCTGCCTAGGGAGCCCGCGACACTGTTGGGAGCCCTGGCTAGGGTTACCATACGTCCGGATTTCCCCAGACATGTCCGGCTTTTTGGTGCTCAAATCCCCATCCGGGGGGAATTTCCAAAGAGCCAGACATGTCCGGGGAAATAGGGAGGCGTAAGCCAGGGTCCACCCAGCACGATCCGCGGGGTCTGCAGCGCAGCCCAGCTGCCCCAGCTACAATGCTCAGGCGGGGAACGGGGGGGGCTCGGGCTTCCCTCGCGGGCGGGGGCCCCCCGGCCACTGGGGGACCCTTCCTGTGGCCCCGTTGCCCCGCGCAGCTTGGAACCCGGCGCTGCGGGAGCTGTTTCCGGCGGGGACAGACAGGCCGGGGAAAGTGCTCGGCGGCAGGAAGGAAGCTGCGGCCGGGGCTGCAGGGACCCGCGCTGCCGAGCGTCTGAAGCCCTCAGCAGGCAGAGGCTGCCGGGGGAGCAGGGGCAGGGCAGGCGGGGGCATAGAGGCTGCAGGGCGAGTCGGGAGCAGGGGTCACAGAGGCTGCAGGGGCGCAGGGGCAGGGCAGGCGGGGGGCGCAGAGGCTGTAGGGCGAGTGGGGAGCAGGGGTCACAGAGGCTGCAGGGGCAGGCGGTGCAGGGGCTGCAGGGCGAGTGAGGAGCAGGGGTCACAGAGGCTGCAGGGGGGCACAGGGGCAGGGTAGGCGGGGGGTGCAGAGGCTGTAGGGCGAGTGGGGAGCAGGGCTCACAGAGGCTGCAGGGACGGGGGGTGCAGGGGCGGGGCAGGCGGGGGGTGCAGAGGCTGCAGGGGCAGAGGGTGCAGGGCGAGTGGGGAGCAGGGAAGCACTTAGCAACCCCCAACCAAGATCAGAGCGGGAGGGAGGAGGGGGAATGCAGGGTGCTCAGAGGAGGGGGCAGAGTTGGGGAAGGGGCGGGGTTGGGGTGGGGCTGGGGCGGAGTTGGGGCGGGGCCGGGGGTGGGGAAGGGATGGAGTTGGGGCAGGGCCAGGCCCCCGTGGAGTGTCCTCTTTTTTCAGTGTTGAAATATGGTAACCCTACCCTGGACCCTCCACCTGCTCTAGGTGGCATGCCCTGGGGGGCAGGGACATGGGCTGGGGGCTGCTCTTGGGCACCTCAGCACCCAGCCCAAGGCAGGTGGAGTGTCTGGGACTCCCTACAGCCACCTGGGACTCCATGGGTGGCTCTTACTACAGCCTAGGGTGACCATAAGTCCTGTTTTGGCCAGGACAGTCCCATGGACAGCGAGTATCATAGGCCAGGGGCGGCTGAGCTTCCCCACACAGTCAGGTTTGGCCCCGCAGATGCTCTGCCCTGAGGCCCCAGTCCCGTGTCCTGTTCTTCCCCCGTGGCTCTGCCCATGCTGCTCCTCTTCCTGCCCTCACTCAGCCTCTCCCCTGAAGCTGGCAGGGGCTGGGGTGGGCGGGCTGATGGCCAGGGACTTGGGGCAGTTGGGCCAGTGTTTAGGCCAGCCGGCAGGCCGGGATGTGCCAGCCGGGGCAGCTGGGACGGACCTGCCGGTAGCCCAGGAATCAGGCCAGCCAGCAGCCTGGGGCAGCTGGGGAGGGTTGGCCAATGGCCTGGGCCAGCTTGCGGGCCGGGACTGGGGGTGGCTGGGGTAGGGCTTCTCTGGCCACTTAGGGTTAGGGGTCTTGGGGCTCCAGTGGGGAAGGGGGGGGGGGTAGGGGTGGGGTCCTGGGGCGGAGGGGGGGGGGCCAGGGGCTAGTCTCCCCAAACGGGGGTTCACAGGCTGCCCATGGACAATCCCTTTTTTTAAGCCCTGCCCCAGATATCCTGACTATTTTGGCAAAACTGGATCAAAAGCTGATCATCAGTTGGCAAGAGGAAATGGGACAAATGCCCAGTTTTGCCAAAAAAGGGTGTGGCAGTAAATGGGGGGGCATGGGAGGGGTGAGCAGTGGAGCAAGTGTGGGGCAAGAGGGGCTTGAGCCAGCTCCGCACAGGGAGGGGGGCCTCAGGCCAGTTCCATGCAGGGTGAGGAAGGAGGCTCAGGCGGGGGGGGGGGGGGGGGGGGGGGGGGGGCGGGGCCCCCCCCCACCCAGGGGGACTACAGATGGGTTTCTGGCTTGCAGCCTGGCCAGGTGGCAGGGCCTCAGGGGGAAGAGGAGGAGCAGAGGCAGGGCCAGAGTTCCAGTGCTCCTGTGGGGGCCCCCAAATTGGTCAGGGCCTCTGTACATGGGCCCCATGGGCCTATGCTGTAATCCACCACTGCAATCCTTTGCCCCACTCCCCCAACCCTCCTTGAGTAGCCCATGAGAGGGGAGCTCAGTCTTGGGGGTACATTCCCCCCTCTACTGATGGACCCTGTTGGTGCCTCTCACTGTGCTGGCTTCTGGGGACACAAGTGCCTGTTCTGCAGGGTTCAGAGTGGTAGCCGTGTTAGTCTGTATCAGCAAAAACAACAAGGAGTCCTTGTGGCACCTTAGAGACTAACTAATTTATTTGGGCATAAGCTTTCGTGGGCTAGAACCCACTTCATCAGATACATGGAGTGGAAAATACAGGAACAGGTATAAATACATGAAAAGATGGGAGTTGCCTTACCAAGTGTGAGGTCAATCTAACGAGGTAATTCAATTAACAGCAGGATACCAGGTGAGGAAAAATAACTTTTGCAGTGGTAATGAGAATGGCCCATTTCAAACAGTTGATAAGAAGGTGTGAGTAAGAGTAGGGGGAAATTAGGTTTAGGTTTTGTAATGACCCAACCACTCCCAGTCTTTATTCAGGCCTAATTTGATGGAGGGCTCATCCCACCCAACAGCTGATTTCACACAGAGCCCCTGACACCCCACATAGCAAGCAGCCATTCAGAGCTCCCCCTCTCCACTCCTCGTCCAAACCCTGCCAGGCTGAACCAGCAGAGCAGTTACCTCCAGGGGCAGCTCTCACCCCCATCCCCAGAGTGAAGTGCCTTGGGGTGGCCCATAGGGGGCACTGAACCATCCCCCACCCCAGTAAGGCAGGACCCATAGCACATTTCAACCCTTTCAGCTCCTCTGGAAATTATACTTAGCTGCCTCTTTTGAGGCATGGTTTGACCGTTGAGGCCATTGGGCCTGGTGGTGGGGAACAGGATCCTGGGGCCTAATACTGACATTTTAAGCATTCACTTCCTCATCCCCTACAGGATCTGGCCTAGCCCCACCATGCCTCAGTTTCCCCTACTCTGTTAAATGAGCACAGAGCAGGCAGAGGCCCACCTCTCTAGTCGATCAGAGAGCCAGCTGCTCTGCACAGGCCCTGGCACCAGTCACTGGTCTCTGCTCCCCCTACAGCACAAGCCTGGGGGAGGCACCCAAAGCCCTATAGGGGGCCCCACAAAATCACCTCCTTCCCCCAAAATCCTCTTGGCAGAGCAGGCAGTGGGTCTGTTGCATTTGGGGCAGTGGAGCCCCAGGCTCTGTGCCTGCTCCAGGCCTCTCTGCTCAGAGGGGAAGGAGAAGAGCATGACAGGGACCAGCAGGAAGTGCAGCAAGGAGCCCGTTTACTGAAGTAACTGTGGTGCCCTGTGATGCCCCCTTGGGGCCAGCATCCCAGACCAGTGGAGTCCAGGACACAGCTGGCCCACTCTGCAGGGGAAGAATAGATGACCTCCTGAGATCTCTTCCAACCCTAATCTTCTATGATTCTATAATAGGCTGGGTGCAGCTGACCCCAAGCCCTGCTGGCTGGCTCCTGGTCCCAGGCAGACTCAGAATCATAGAATCATAGAATATCAGGGTTGGAAGGGACCTCAAGAGGTCGTCTAGTCCAACCCCCTGCTCAAAGCAGGACCAATTCCCAACTAAATCATCCCAGCCAGGGCTTTGTCAAGCCGGGCCTTAAAAACCTCCAAGGAAGGAGACTCCACCACCACCCTAGGTAACGCATTCCAGTGCTTCACCACCCTCCTAGTGAAATAGGGTTTCCTAATATCCAACCTGGACCTCCCCCACTGCAACTTGAGACCATTGCTCCTTGTTCTGTCATCTGCCACCACTGAGAACAGCCGAGCTCCATCCTCTTTGGAACCTCCCTTCAGGTAGTTGAAGGCTGCTATCAAATCCCCCCTCATTCTTCTCTTCTGGAGACTAAACAATCCCAGTTCCCTCAGCCTCTCCTCATAAGTCATGTGCTCCAGACCCCTAATCATTTTTGTTGCCCTCCGCTGGACTCTTTCCAATTTTTCCACATCCTTCTTGTAGTGTGGGGCCCAAAACTGGACACAGTATTCCAGATGAGGCCTCACTAATGTCGAATAAAGGGGAACGATCACGTTCCTCGATCTGCTGGCAATGTCCCTACTTATACAGCCCAAAATGCCGTTAGCCTTCTTGGCAACAAGAGCACACTGTTGACTCATATCCAGCTTCTCGTCCACTGTGACCCCTAGGTCCTTTTCTGCAGAACTGTTACCTAGCCATTCGGTCCCTAGTCTGTAGCAGTGCATGGGATTCTTCCGTCCTAAGTGCAGGACTCTGCACTTATCCTTGTTGAACCTCATCAGGTTTTTTTTGGCCCAA